AGTATAAGCATGTTCTGCACTAGTATAAGAGTAAGTATACGTATTCGTATTTTTACCAGTATTGTATTGTTAGGAATATTTACGCAGGTATTACTGTACTAGCACTCATTAATTGAATTTGAATAATGCACGAAGCTTCAGTCTGCGGCTTAAGGAGGGCCCACTTCTCCGTTTCGCCTTGGAAGTCTTGGTCCGTGACCCAGGAGTTCTACTCAAGAAAGAGGAAAGAGGGTCTGGAGCTTCGGTTTCAAGGGATGCCCTGAAGTGGTGATCAATGCCATAGGGAAGGGCTCAGAGGTGCCACTTCGGGTTGAGGAGTTTTGGGGTTTAGCCTTGGACATGGCCGGGTTGGAGCCTGATTCGTGCACGAACAGCACTCGTGAGGAAAGTGCGCACACGGACGAGGGGTGCGGTGCAAACTAGCATGGTGCAAATCAGATGTCCACCTGGCTGTCCTGGATAACAGAAGGGATCACATGGTGGTGGCTTCTATGAAGGAACTAGGACACTCGGTGTCCTCCTCCACGATAGGCTTCTTGCGCAGGAGCACCTCGTGAACCTCAGCGTGACGGCATCCTTCACAAGTATGGGGATACCTGTTGATCGACTGCCCTTTCTCAAGCATCTCATATACCGCAACAAGCGATTCTGATCTCACGTCCCCAACCTGCCCATCGATGACCACCGGCTTCATGACCTGAACCATTGTGTCCGGCATTACACGACTACTGCCTGCCTCTTGCGATGCAGCTGCTGCCGGCAGCTCTACGGCAGTTGACTCTTGTGGCACCTCCATACATCACTTTTCTGCCGTGTGCAGGAGTCACATGCGAAAGTGGCGTACTCTGCACTTCACGGGGACTGGACTCACAATGCGAGTGAAGCCTTCATCAAGCATGCCCACACTTTGGACACCGCGTGTGGCCTCCTCGACAGCTCGGTCGGCGTGCTCCGCCGACGCGGTCTGGGGCCTGGCTGAGAGGGGTTGTCCTGAGAGATGCAGGGCCTTGCTATCCGAAGAGAAGTAAACATGGCAACCCACGCAGCTGATCCTGTCCCTTCCCTTCCTGTCCCTCAAGAAGACGCCTGGATGTTTCGGCTGGCGATGGGCTTGAAGCCGAGGGCGTGGGAATCACGGCCTGACCGACTTCCATCATGTCCCTTGGCCTAGGATCAGATGTGGAAAGCCACGGAAAGCCGAAGCCCACAGAAGAACCATGCGGCCCTGGGTCTGGGTCGGAACGAAGCAAGGCCTCTCAAAGGCTTACCTGTGAGTGCCGTGGGCCTCCTCTTCCGCCGGGTCAACCTTCTTCTCCAAGTTCTCAGGCCTGATGCTGGCTGAGGGCTGGATAGACTGGAACAAGCTTTGCTACGATTTACGATGCACCTCCGGACAACCAAGAAATGCCTGCGGTCATGCACAGGACCCTGCCCCTCAGGAACACACCTAGAACCTGCGTGCCATGGACTCGTCGGAGGCTTGGAAGCCACGGCTGCTTGCGTACACGTGCTGGCGGACTACTTTTTATAGTCAGGATGCAGTTCAGCCAATCCATGCGCACCCATGCTACTGGTGTTCTTGCCCACATGCCTGGCTTTCTGATCCAACACCAAGCCCATACCGGAAACTATCGCAACTTAACAGCCTCTTGTGACGCAGCTGCTGCCGGCGGCTCCAGGGCAGGCGACTCGCGCGGTCTGACCTTTCGTGCACTTTGCTGCCGTGAGCTCAGTGGTGTTACTGCTGAACCGTTGCCTGTTGCTATTGCGACCACACTGCTACTATATGGAACTAAGTTATATTAGTAGTATTACTATTGCTTCCAGTCCTACTCGTCTTACTACTACCACTACTACTACCACTACTACTACTACTACTACTACTACTACTACTGCTGCTGCTACTCCTACTACAGTACCACCACCACTACGACTACGACTACGACGACGACGACGACGACGACGACGACTACTACTACTACTACTGTAGCTGCTACTACGACTACGACGACGATATTTATATACATATATATATATATGACTATAGTAGTATTACTCTTATCCCTATACTACTACTGTTACAGTGTACCGGGAAAAGAGAACAACTTTTTTGAGGAAGATTGCGAAGCAATCTTGCAATCTTGGTCTCGCCGACTAGTTTGCCTTTTAGACCAAGATTGCCAGGTGGGGGGGCAAGACTGCCAAGCAATCTTGCAATCTTGGTCTCCAACAGGTAAAATTGCCGGCAATCTAGGTCTCGGGAGCAAGTGGGGCAAGTGGGTCAAGATTACCGAGATTGCCTGGCAATCTTGCTCCCTCCCTGACCAAGATTACAGGGAAATCAACAGTTATGCAAGACACTTGTAGTCGTTGTAGTCAGCCCCAAACTCCCGGGTCTAGGGGTTAGGGTTTAATCCTGCATCAATATTTCCCAGACAAAACCAGGTACCACAAGCTGGGCACTCGACATTCCTGCAACTCGAGCAACGCAGCTGCTCCAAATCCACAAACACATGTCAATCCTATATCAAAACCTTATGGATTCCTGATATAGTACTATATAAGACTCTCATAGAACTGAGACTCCTGGCCTATTGTAGGGGCCTTAATGATTAAAGTAGGGTTTTGGGGCATTTTCTACGATGACTATATTTATTAAAAGCCCCCTATGGTACTCCCAAACCGTAGTCCCAATTCCCAGCCTCGCAGGCTGCCTTCATGTCTGTGACGCACTTCTCTGCCTCGTGTGTGGCTTACCGTTCGGGTAAACCCTGACCTTTACAAACCCTGAAGGCAAAGTTGTAAAAGAAGTCGGGGCTGTATTTTATGAGCTAGGCTTTCGGGCACAAGCAAAGCTTCGCAGGAATGGATACGGTCCCACCTATAGAATGAGCATGGGGCATAGACAGGAGTTGTGGAAGCCAAACGCTGCAGTCCTGGAGCCTAGCTCTGAGAGTACAAAGCCTAGAATCTCTATCCGTCATATCGTGAAATACTACAGATCCTTGAGCGCATGCGGATGCTGAGGTGCGACCTATCGCCATCTTTACACCAGCAGCATGAAGTAGTGTAGGTGCCTGAGCAATTAGAACACGATTTTGCGGCCCGTTTACTAAAACTATTATAGTTAGTGGCAAAGCAGCAATGTGGCACTCGACCTTCAACATCCTCAAGCCCTAAACTCCAAACTGTTTTTGCGCTGTCATGAGGTCTTACCTGAACACCGACGAGTTCATGCAGGTGCATCCAACCTGCCCATCAGCATCCATGCGCTGCTCGTACACGACCTGCAGTCGCCCAGCAGACACGTGTTCCCGCGCAACACTCTGAAAAGATCGGGCCAACAAACACCGAAGCCTCATCCCTGGACGGCTGTGACATACTAGGACACACCCCGTGCACAAACTCCTTGAACCATGCTACACTGTGTTCATGGCGTCAACCACAGAGCTCACGAATTCTTCCAGCTTGCCATGCCTATGATAATGTCGGAACACGATTGGTGTGCTACGCGTCTGCGTTTACGATGCACTGTGTCATTCTCGGCAGCTACACCATGCCAGTCACCCCACACAAGTACACAGCTGGCACAAGTATTTTCGATAAATCCCCGGCAGGAAGCTGGCACGGATATGTGAAGGAAAGTGGAGCCGCGGAATTCGTCCGGAGACCGAGGACCCAGCTGCGAGGACGGCGCCTGCTTGCGATACCAGTTCGCACACCTGCCGTGTCTTCTAAGATCGGTTATCCTGAAACTCACTTCCACCTGCAGCCCCTCCAAAAGCCCTCAAGTGTGACAGAACATGCCCAAACACTTGACACGTCCGTCGAAAGCTGCGACACCAGTCCCACAAAAACCGAAGATAACAGTAGACTTGGCATCCAGCTGAGGGCCGCGGTGCCAGCAATATTGGCAGTGGAAAATCTAAGCAGACGGGTGGACCCGAGTACGACCCAGCCACCGTACACCCCGCCTGTTGTCAGCGTCCCCAAACCCGGGGTGCAAGCACCATAGCCGCGCCTCATGAATGTAAAGGGCTGTTTGTATTCGGTGCCTTAATGATTCGAAGAGGGCTTCTTGTAAGAGTTCTCGAAGGCTCACAGTAAGGGTTCTACCAATTAACCCAAGTGAAAAACTGTAGAGATTCTGTAGCGATTTAAGGTTTAGGGCAGTTTGGGGTTTAGGTTTTAGGGTCTAGGGTTTTTCAGGTTTTAGGGTTTTAGGTTTTAGGGCATAGGGGTCTAGGGTTTACCAGGACTCCCCAGCTACCCTTGAATAGAGCCCTTATGGTTACAAATAGAGGGTATTTGGTGTATAATAGAGGGGTTTGGGTTCAGTTTGGGGTTTGGTCCTTCAAGGTTTCAACAAGTGTATGAGTTTGGTGGTTCCTCTAAGGGTGCTATAGGTTTAGGGCCTACGTGTTCAGGGAGTCCCACTATGTCCTGACCCACTGTAGCAAGATGTGTTTTCTGCTTCATCTGGTTGGTCAGAGGCACTGCAGGGAGCGGTCACTGGAGTTGCAGAACAGCTGATCGGAACAGACGTGGCACTTTCGTGAACGCTCGGCAACACAGCAAGCCGGGGTATAGTCACAACCTGAAGGATAAAGAACGGCCCTTTTATGGGAAGAAGCCGCTGCCCGAGTCCTTAGCCTTTAGCAACCTCAGGGACTGCAGCGCACGACGTGAATCGGACGTCACCTTGACTCCTAACTAAGAAGAGCCTTCGGCTTCCCAGCTTCTCTCGCCTCCGGCAGTCATTCAATCGAAGCGTAAGAAGCTGGAATCGGAAGACGGCTTCGGATTCCGGTTCCAACCTCCCTAGGCAGAACTCCTCAACATAGATCAACATACTGGCAGAGTACAAGCCAAGCGCGTTGTGAAGTTCTTCGCGAAACACGTCTGCAAGTCTCTTTCGCGAACCTGACCTGACTCAACTCAAACCATATGCACTAACTCAAATTCCCAGAGAACTCTTATGAGGGAACCGGATTTTCCTGTCAAAGCGGCACGATGTGCTCGAGCACCGTGATAAGCTGCCTCGTGCCGACATCACCCTCTCCTGGGCAAGAGGCCGTGTTCATACTCGAGAACTCGAGAACCTCTCTTTGCCGGCAGCCCGCTTCTTGCCGCCAAGTAGCCAACGCCTTCATAGACGCGCTTCTCGACTTCTGCCGCAATCAGCATGGCCACATCTGTCGGGCTCAGAGGTAGCAAGACCAGGAGGTCTGTCTGCCGACGGCGGAAAGCAGACAGTTGCCTCAATCGCTCCAACTCTGCTCAGTGCTGCAAGGCTTTGTCACACCGGCCACATCTGCTCGCACGACCCGTTCTACGCCTAGCCCTGAATTTATCACCGTGCAGAGGTGGACCGGGGGAGGATTCGCCCACATGCACAGCCGTAAGTCTGACCTTGCGAATCCACCTGCGGTCAGGTGGCATGTTGCAGATTCTGGCTGGCCCATGATCACAACACTGCCAATGTCACGCACCTGGGCAGTTTTCTGGGTACCCTAAATAGTACGGTGCCGCATGATCCTGAAGGATCCACAGAGGGACCATAATCTTGGCAACCACCTGCGCGAAGAAGCCCCGTCCTGAAGCCTCAAGCCTCATCCCTCAACCTCGGCGCACATTCTCATTGGAGAGCCCAGCCCTTCTTGAGATGAGCTAGAGTCCAAACTCCTTAAAGGGGGCTACAAAGACGATTCTATAGGGGATTACTACTATGGGGGATCTTACCGGGGATAAAAGGGGTTTAGACTATAGCTCAGATGATGGACACTTGCCAGGCCTGCTCCAGCATGGATGCATCCGCCTCCGTCAGGCCGGCAGTGAGGCGCATGTAGAAACAGGATCGGCCTGCCACCTGCAATTTCCCAGTTTGGGATCCAGCCTCGGCAGACCCCGGTGCAGACGGTGAACATGTAATTCGGTCTACGTTGCTGCTTCTTGAGCTTCCTGGGCAGCATCCCAGAAGTGCAGAAGTGCAGCGCAAGGGCAAATCGCTGAGGGGGCCAATGGAGATAAGTAGATCCGCCTCTGCCACCAGCTTGTCATTTTTGTCATTGCCTTTGCCAGCCAACCAGACACAGAAAAAGCTGTGAACAAGGTCTGGCAAACACGACAAAGCGACACCTACAAAGTCTGAGCTTGCCTTCGCGCGGAAGACGGCAAACGGTTCAACAAATCATTGTAAACTCACGGCAGAGGGTTTACCCTGCCAGAGGCGTCCTAATTAGACTCGCCCTGATGTTTAGGATTTATAGGATGCGGGGTCTCCTCCACGACCAGCCCAAGGTCGTTCTTGCTAAGCAAATCTCAACTGCACAAACAGCGGTTGAACAACAGTGGCAACCACCCGGCAACCCGCCTCGATTTTCAGAGCCTTGCCAGGCTGCCAGGCGAACCCTGGATCCAACACGAACCGATGCCTTACAGAGTTCGCGAGGAATCCACATCTTTGGCATATTTTGGGGTGGGCAAACGGAATAGAAAGAGTCACACAGCCCCACGCATCCACAGACATACAGAGAGAGAGAGAGAGAGAGAGAGCGCCGTTTTGGTGTGTTATCTTGGTCGCCGGGACACAGTAAGTTGATGGTTCAGGAGTTCGAAGAGTCGGCAAATCAATTCGGCTGCGACGTGCTTCCCCACCCCAAAGCCGCCACTGGTCAGGACGTGTCGTCGTGGCTGCTTACCTGCCACATGTGGTCAAATCATGCGTGGTCGCGTATCAGTACAGTACAGAATGGCACAGAGGGCTTCATCAGGGGAGGAGAGAAGAAGACAACGCAAAGTACAAGATCCAGGCAACCCTGGCAGAACACCCCGGTGCCGAACACTGCGGTACAGAAGTCTGTGTTGCATCTTAAGAGCGCGAACGTGTCCTTCTTTGAGGACATGCCGGCCGGCTCCGTCGCGCAGACGTTGCACGATGAACTCCTTCACAATCTAGCAAAGGCAAGATCTTTATATGTCTTGTTGATGCCGCACCCTCGTTGCAACGTCACCTTGACGGGCTCAAGACCCAGAGCGCGGTCCAAATTAGCTTTCAACCTGGCCAAACCTGCATGTCTGCATGACTTTCTCTTCGCCTTCTAAGTATCGCGGATGGTTCCGACACGCTGTGCCTGCAGCAGAACTCCAAGTCCTCCTTCTGCAACAGCAGCAATGCTGCCAGCCGATCTGTTTAGGGACCTCTGCTCTGGCAATGGAGATGGTCAAGTGTTACTGTAAAAACTGGAAAACGTCAGCACACCTTTGCATACTTGGACACGGACTCTCTCGTACCCGCTGAGCCTGAAAAGACACACTTGAAACTCGCTTCCGTCCTCTCCCTGCTTTCAAGCATAACTTCGATTGCTGAGGTGATTGTCTTTGCATCCCGGAAATAGCCACTGAATACGCACCACAGATGATGCTTGCAAGCCCGGTATGGCTGAATTGGAGACAATGCAGCAACAACAGCTTCTTAGCACCCAGCTATCCTGAGCTGAAGGAACGGGCACTGCAGCAGCGGCCTCGCAACACCCAATCGGAGCTCTCTTCGCGGCCAGGGCACCGCAACATCTGATGCAGGTTTTTTAGTTTGTTGACGTGAACCCTTTTTCTGAGCAGGGACTGCAATGCACTAAAAACCCAAAAAGCTACATGCACAGATAGGTCCTGGATCGCCTAAATCCCACCCTAGACCCAAAACCAACCTAAACCCCGGCATGGGGATGCGGTTTTGGGGCGACGGGGTACCTGCTGCAGCAGAAACCGAAAGCAGCAACGACCAGTTAAGAACCAAAGCGCCTTGGTCCACAGCCGTAAGCTCGTAGTCTTGTGAGCCCTAAACATGTCCAGAAAGCCTGGCCTTTTGGGGTCGCATCTGCGAGAGCTGCAGCACGGACAAGGCAGCCGAGAGCTCAGCAAGCTGCGTGGCCTTGTGAGCTTCCGGGTGAGAGGCGTCTGTTCTTGAAAGTTTTGCAGATGGTCTCTTGTAAGCCCTAAACGGCTCTAAACCCTAAACATCCCTGAACCCCAAACCTGCGCACGAAACTTGTGAGCCTGGTCTTACCAAACTGCAGGGCTGCAAGATTTCGGTGATGATCTCAGAGGAAAGGTGGCTCAAGTGCGGCTCACAGCGTGGAAGGGTTGTGCAGTCAGAGTCAAGGAACTTGACTTGCGGTCTGGCTCGGGGTAGCAGGCTAGTCCTCAACAGAGGAATCCCAAACCTCAAGCCCCAAAGTTTAACCCCACAACCTCAAACTAACAACTCTGATCCAAAACTCGAGGTGCCAGGCCTGACGAGAATTTGGCAAAGCCGGCAGGGCAGTGAGGCAGCAAAGCGGCAAGCAGAGCCTGAAACCGAAAGGAAAGGGAAGCTAAAGCTGCCGGCACACTTCTATGACGTGTGCTGTGGGAGTTAGGCGAGGCAGGCTCGGCTCGCGACCAGCATGAAAGACACTCGGGTTTCAGGTTGGGGTTATGGGTTCAGGTAGGGATTAGGGCTTTGAGTTTAGGGTTCAAGATTTGTAGGGAAAAAGGCTTTGGATTTCGACTCTCACTCTCGCAGGCAGCAGGCAAGGGGCTTTGGATTTAGGGTTTTGAGATTTAGAGCACACCTTCGCTCTCTCCGATGCGCGAAGTTGCTCCTAGGTACGTCCACCGTCAACATCTCGGCCCTAAGCCCTAAACTTACTTATCTGAAGCCCCGCTTGCTGGATCGTGGGAAGCAAGTAAGGCGATAAGTACGTACCTTAAAAGGGCCTATGGGTACTATACGTATAATTCTGTTCTGTACAACCCTAGTTACTTAGTCCCATGACCCCTTAAGCGCCTGGGCCAGGAAAGACTCGACCCTCAACAAGTGAGCTACCAAGATGCCTCCGAGTCCCAGAAACTGCAAAAAGGCTGGCTTCTAATGTTTAAAGGAGGCAATCGTAAAAGAATCATGTGGAGTCGTCAATCTGATGCCTATGTTCCAAGAACTCATAATTCCATAGACTTCCTGGCGCAGCCCCTTCAGGCAGCCGCAGTTGAACCGAGCGCGCCTCTGCCAGCAGGGCAGTTGAGTATGAGCCGGGCGCTGCTGCTGGTGGCCCTGCCGGCCGGATCCCGAGCAGGGGAAAAGCTGAAGAAGCTGCGAAGAAGACCTACGGCCTACGGCTACAAACATACAAACGTACAGGCATACAGACAACCAAATGTGTACTATAATATATACCACCAAACCCTTTTAACATTGCTCAGGCCCCTATGGGCCCTATAGTAAATTGACAATATTGGTATGTTCCAAACCCCCCGAATCCCGAGGCATTGAGGCTTCTCGCGCCCAGTCAGGAGGGCCAAGCTCCAATAAGAAGACCGGGGACTTTGCACAAGTGTGACTACAACGACAAACCATACATAACATGGAGCCCACTTGCAACCCACGGCCTGAAGCCAGAGCGAGGTAAACCCGGAAATAAACCCGAAATGTCCGCGAAAGCGCGTGGACATAACCGAAGATTGGCCTGACACTCAATCCGGCTTGTCTTCAGGATCTTGCTGATGTAAACCTTCGACATTGAACCCGAACCCAAATCCCAGTGTTTATCCTGATCACTTCCAGCCCTGAAACTCCGAGAACCCAAGAACAGCCTAAATCACACCATAAAGCCCTCAAACTGCTGAGCGCGCACGCATGCGTCG